CGTGGACTGTGGCGCTGGTACATGTCGAGCGAGAACACTTCCACGATGTACTACCAGCGTGGCGTGATCATGGTGCTCTCGGTGCCGAGATGTGATGCTTAGAAGCGACAACGCTGCTAGAGAGGCGAGATGGGTGCCACTGCTGCCGTAGAGCTCGCTCCCGTCTTCGCCAGTGCCAAACTTGGACGTGTGGTACATCCGTCCGAGCCCGCCATCCTCTCCGAACTCATGGGGCCGGATGCCGGGGCCGTTATCTTCGATGGTGCAGCCTCGACGGCGGAAGTCGACGGTCAGATCGATTTTACTTGCTCCAGCGTCGAGGCTGTTCTCGATCAGTGCCAGAATGACACCTTGAAGATTGATGATTTGCTTCGAAGAGTGGATCTGGGTGGCGATGTCCTTGGGCAGGGGCAGGATGCGAGACATGGCTGGCGAGTGGTCCCACGATCTTCAAGCCAGCCGCCAGGGTTGACACCATAACACATCAGTGGATGTTGCAGGACAATCAGCGTCCTTTGTAGCGATTGGTCTCCTCGAGGCTCGACGCCAGCATCCTCATCATCATTGATGTCTGGTCGTAGCAGATCGACTTCGACGGGTGGAGAGTCGGCAGCGGGCCGGGATTAACATAGATCCTTCCATGGATGCTTGGGAGCTCATATCTCCAGCCTTCCATCTGTTTCAATTCATGCGCGATCCATTCATGTACACCATACATACCGCCAGAATCCGAAGAGTAGCAGGCCACCTTCTCTTCAGTAATAGAGAAGTGTAGCAGCTCGAGATAGCACCCACGTCAACGCCTCACGGCAGAGCTGCACCACGCACGAGCTGCAGGGCCCTCGATCCGCTACGGCACGGCATAAGAAGTACTGTACAGGAGCTCCAGCTTCACGCGCACCCGACCCCTTCACGCCTGTTGTGCCACAAATATTTGCTGTACATGTAGCGTCACAAGCAGCTCGGCCTCAAGCAAACCCTGATCATGGCCGCTGAAGTAGCACTCAAACCGCAAGGTATGCATCTCCTACCAAGCTGCAATAAGGCCGCATGCCTCTGTGCTTCGGCAACACTGCTCGGCGGAAGCGCGCTGACTCGTCGTCCGTGACAACAGAGCGCCAGCCTAAGAAGAAGCCCTTCGCAGCGTGGATGAAGCGCATCACCAACCTCAAGGGCAACGACGACTCCGAGAATGGCAGAAAGAAGCGCGCGGCGAAGCACAAGAAAAAAAACATGCACAACGGCACCTTCCTGAATAATCCCTATCCCGAGTCGGGACCCCGACCGCAACGCGGCGACTCACCGGCGGAGAGCGTCAACGGCCACTTGTCTTTCTCGACGCCTCCCTCCAATCCTCAAGACGACGCGGGAAGCTACATCTCCGGGCCCGGAAGTGGGCTGGAAGATCGGGATGGCCCTTCGCAGAGCAACAAGAGCGGCGCACCGACACTGGCGACTAAGCCGGGCACAGTCCGCAGCGACGCTGGCCATAGCAAGGCGGCAACCACCACAACGCGCGAAGGCGCTCTGAGTGGTACCGATGGCGCGGGAGCCGGGAGCACGTTTAGTTCACCTGCGCCCAGCGAACGCTCTCTCACCACCACCCTCACCACCATACAGTCGCAAGCGACGGGTACCGTGCTGCAGAACGGCGTATCGGGACACCACTCAGCGCATCATCACGGCAGTCTGAATAACCCGAATCCTGTCATGTTCAGCCATCAGTATCCGACATCACCTGCGCCATCCCACATGACTGCCTCAGCCATACCTCGACATATTTCGGAAGCGATACCGAATACCTACTCTTCAGCAACAGCGAACAATCTCCTATCCGATGACGCCAGCATCCTCACGCTTGCCTCCTCTTCGAAGCGAAGGAGACGAAGCATGGACACGGACGCATCAGTGCGCGCACTCGCACCCGGCTCGGTATGGGGCGGTAGCAGAGAGTCGCTGCCTTTGAGCGTGCTATCTGGTAATCTGGATACCGGCGCGAGCGGACCCTCTGGGATGTACTCCGCCTCACAGAGTCGGCCTTCCATGGGCGGTCTCGCTTCCGCGGAGAGAGCGAGCATCTACAGCAACCAAGGTATCTCCGCGCCCGCGCTCGCAAGCGAGAGGAACAGCTTCTACTCCCATAAACCCGCCAAGGACTACTCGGATGCGAAATCGCTGCGAAGTATGACTGGACTGGATGCTCGCTCACAGTACGATGCGCGATCGATCAATGAGGCCAGAAGTCAATTAGGCGATGTCGCGAGCCTGAAGAACAACGAGGGGAGTGTGAGGAGTGGAGCGCTGGGCCATAGCAGGAACGATAGCATCCCCGGCAGTATCGGCTGCCCGCTTGCGAGCCC